AAATATTACTCGTTCCCCACCGTCCCCTACCTTCTGGTTGCTGGGTACCTATTTCAGCTTCTGAAAGTCGATGGATTGAATACAAGTATGAAAAATCCGCCATAGGGCTTCTGGCGCTCCTTAGGAGTGCTTGCCGCAGTCATGGCTCCGCTGAGAGATCTCAGATTGTTTTTCATCTTTTTCTCTTCATTTTCATCCGATTCTCTCACCATTTCTTCAATTCCCTTTCAAGCTAGTGTAGTGTTCGATCAAATCTTGAAAAACCCAAATATATTTTTGCTTTTTCTTGCTTTTCCGTTCTCAAATCTGGTCGACGGTTTACATCTGGAAGGGAATTGGGGCTGAATGAAGTTTATTCCGGTAACTATTGATTAATGATTCTAGCACTGTGTCTAGTTCATGCTGTTAAGCAACTTAACCTATCAATTAATGATCAAATTTTGTTTAATCAATTTGGGGTTGAGTTTGAGGTTGTAGATGAGCAAATCGATAGTTACTGTGGCATGTTTGTTGGGCATTTAGGTTTTGTTGTTGGTGTAGAGAATAGATAGATTGCGTTTGCATTGCTTAAGAACTTGAATGTTGATGACCTAGTTACTAACTGTGTGCTCGATTTGTTGTTGATGAGGTCTATTTGCCCTATTTCTGTTAAGAATCTACTGGATGTGTGGTATTTATCTAAGAATCCAGTTATGTTTATGAGGGGGTAAAGCCTGTTCATTATGCCTATGTGATTCCAAAGAAGAATACCCATGATGAAAATTAGGAAGAAGATAGTAAAAATTGATCATTTAGTGGAGATGTTATCGTCCTTGGCAACAAAAACCAGTGTGCTGCAGGGGTTGGTGGCTGCCTCCTAACAGCCACAGGGACCCCCTTGGCTCCTTTAGGGCTTCACAGAGGTACACTTTCAGACTCAGGCTATCCTAGTTTGTTTCTCTTTGTTTTAATATGGAAAACACCTAAAAGTTGTCTTGTTGTTGTGGTGTATTGGTGGATAGTATCACTTGGGAAGCAGCTAGGCTGGCAATTCCAGGTATGTTGCTCTTGGCGGTCTCCCCTAGGACATGGTTTGAAGAGTCCTTCTCTTATGGGCGTTTCATCTACTTCAACCGTGTACATGATGATTCATTGGAGGCTGTTTCATTGGTGTTTTATATCAAGGAAGAAGATTTCAAAGCGGAGAAGGAAAGGGCCTTAGGATTGTTCAAGGCTGTTGGACCCTACTTCCCCGCAAATCATGAAGCTTGTAAGAAGAGAGTCGATTAAGTCCTTTTTTTTTTTTTTTTTTTTTTTTTTGTTAATTGGAATTTTATGAAGTTATACTTCATAGATCATACTGTTTTACATATCGGGAGAGTGCTGCCCTTCTTTGTTCTGTTCTATGGAAAAAAATTTCATCAGGAAAAAAAATAAAAGGAAGCAGGACTTTTTGAGGATCTAATTATCGAGAAATCATTCAAAAAACAGAAAAGATAGAAAATTTTACCAAAATCGGAGAAGATGAGGACCCCTTCTGTTTTACTGAATCCACTTCCACACGGCAAACCGTGTTTTTTTTTATAGCATTAATTCTTTTTAGTATTATTAATTAATTAATTAAGTCATTCATAATTACTGCCCCAATCCCATTCAGTTAGTCGAGCTAAACGGTGCCGTTTAGGTCAGTTCATACTTCATGCTGCGTCCGAAGCTGCTTTCGGTATCTTCTCTAGTCTCATCAGCGGGTATTCTGCAGTTGAGAGCAAAAGAATCCGATCTTAGGTAAGCTTGTTTTGGCTTCAAATTCTATAGCTTCTTAGGCTTCTGGGTTCTGTGTTGAATTGAAGATTTTGAAATAAAGCTATAATCTTTACCATGTACTTGAAAAAGGGTTGTTCTTTGATGTTACAAGTCCAAAAACCTTCAATCCCATTTGTATTGAACACAAACCCACTTCTGAACCCCAAGACTGAACCCCAAATGGGGCAAAACCGGACCCTTCTTGAAGAGTCCCAAGTGATACACAGATTGAAACATAAACTCAGCATTGCATCAGCCCTGCATTATTTCAAACATATTGCCAATTCAAATGCCGTCAATTTAACGTTAATTTAGTCAGTTTTAGGTTATTTACTTCAAATTAAATGGTAGAAGGTTAAAAACTTCAACGTCTAAAGTAAAAACTATTTTTATTATTTAAAATTTGTTTCAAAATAATAATTATTTTTTATATTTTAAAATTAATAAATATTTTCAAATTTAATTTCATAATTATTTTTTTAATTTTAATTATTTATCTTATTATAAATTTTTTTTTTAAAAGATGATAAATAAATAAAATAAAAATTTATTTTTAAATCTTTAATATTGAGATAAGTGTAAAAGAATATATATTATTTTAAGATAACAAAAGTTAAAAGCTACAAATACGAGAGAAAAAGAAAGTAAAAATTACAAATTTAATAAGACAAGGGTTAAATATAAGAAGTAATTATGAATTAATTAATTAATAATACTAAAACAAATAATGCTACAAAAAACAGGGTTTGCTGTATCAAAAGGGATTCAGTAGAACAGAAGGAGTCTTCGTCTTCTCCGATTTTGGTAAACGGTTCTATCTTTTCTGTTTTTTGATTGATTTCTCCATAATTAGATCTAGAAGGATTCCTGCTTTTCAATTATATTGGGCATGAAAACATGTATGTGTTCCTTACTTCTGCTTTATTTTGGTTATTAGATCTTCTAAGTCGACCTAATACCGGTGTTCTTTCGACACTCTGAATCTCAAGATGGCCGCTTTTTCTTTACTCAAATGGAGCGGTTGTTGGGTTTTGCTTTTTCCTCCTACCCAATTTGCATTATTTGCTTCTCATCACGATTCGACGTTCGTTTCTATGGTTATTCGTAATTGAATTCTTAATTTATCATAACTTTATCATCAGACTCTGAGATTCTTTTGAAGGGGTGGGTTTTTTTTTTTCTTTCCTTTTCTTTTCTTTTGGCCATTGAAGGGGTGGGTTGCTTTGGTGATTTTTCTTGAGATGGGTACAACGTACAATATTTTCAGTGATATAGGGTTTCCGCTGTTGAGACTTTACCTGATTATCCTACTGCAGCATTGATGGAAAAAACTGTTGTGTAATTGTGTGATAATGAAAATTTGGAATGCTTGAAGTTTGTTTCTTTGTTGTCAATTTTCTGTACTGTTCAGGACCTTCAGGTTATTGTGTTAATGTGCTTAAAAGTTTGAAGATTTTTTTTCCTTGGATGCAAGAGTCTAAGAGTGTGTATCTGCAGTTGAAGTCTCGTTTATGGTTCATCCATCTCATCCGTTTCTCATTTTTCAGCAACTCATAATCACACATAGTGGAAGTTATGGCGGAGCGAAGTGATTCAGGTTCATCTGAGAAGAAATCAAGTGAGGCCACAAATGATGTACCAACCTTTAGTTCAGAGAATCTGCAAAGTAACATGAAAATTATCTATTACAGGTTTGTTTTGACATATCATTCTAGTTACTTGAGAACAAGTGTGAGTTAAGATTGGTTGCAAAGATCTTATGTGTTACATAGCACACTTTATATGCATTACTGAATGCTCACATAACACCTATGCATGGTTTTTATTTGCAGCCGAACATTCATGTCCATCATTGGTGAGGTTGTTGCTGGAATTTTAGGGTTCACAGGCTTGACTGGGTTTATCTTCTATTCCTTGTCATGGCAATTACTTCAGTTGGACTCATAGCCAAAGCAAAGTTTTCAGTTAATTCATACTTTGATAGCTGGAATAGGATATTACTCAATGGGTTTATGCGTGGTCTCATGGTAAGCTTCTTATCTTTATGAGTTGATAGCTGATTACAAATTCGTTAACTGACTGTGCAAATTTCATCTTAGAATATTCTACTTTAACATATTAAAGCTTTTGGTTTGTCATCTTGATTTCTTATTGGGTGGGGAGAACGAGGTTAATCAAGTTGTGTGGCTGAGAACATTTAATCTTGCATGTGGCATGTACAATGGTATCAAATAACATTAATTTCAGTTTATTGAAAAGCTATTGTTCCTCTGGAACTGTATTTGGACAACAGTATTAAGATAGGATAGGACCAACTGGGTAAGCCATGAATGGTTTTGATTCATCTGAAGTTGCTTAAGTTGGCATTAGTGGGTAGCATTGTCAATGTAAAATGTGTTATTTCTTTTTGAGGCTAGCATTTTTCACTCAATGCTCTGATTTGGCATTACTATTGTGAGTGTACTTGTGAATGATAGAAGATAGTATTACATTTAGGGCCTGTTTGGTATGGTGGTCTAGAGGTAGCGGTTAGTGGTTTTACCCAAGCCGCTAAAAATAGGTGTTTGATAAACTTATTTATTTCGAAATTGCTACAAACTAAGTGTTTGGTAAAACCTTTTATTTAGCAACTTGAGACTAGTGGATATGCTGACTTAGCCAATATGGGTTATTAATTTATTATGGCATACTTGGTTTCTGTTGATTGTCATGGATCTATATGGTTAAAGTTGAAAATAAAAGAAAAGAATAACCGACACCAACACCCGCTAGCTAGCAGACTAAGAGCATATTTGGTACAGCTGGTGGGAAGTCCTTTTGGACTCCAAAATCTCCAGTTGCATCAAACACTACAACTTGTGAAAAATGCTACAACTTCTCACAAATTTGTCTTTTGTCCATTTCATTGCAAATCTTAGAAGCACCGAATTGGTGCTGCAGGAGCATCTCATTTGGGTTTTAATGAAATTAACATATTATTCTTATTTTATTTTTATTTTTCTTTCTATTTACAAAAACAGCACTTCTACGACCGTTTCTTTCCAACAGAACTATTAAAAGCTTCAGCTACACCAAACGGGCACTAAATGTGTACAAAGAATTTAAGAAAAATAATCCAAGTTCGTCGTGGAAAAAGATTTTTATCATTGCTTTTTGCTTAGGTATTCCTAGGAAGAATTATTGGTAGAGCTTTAGAAAAGGATTTGACCTGACCTTTTCCAATTTCCCACAATTGCTTAAGTATTTAATCCATGTTCATCATAGAAAAAGATTTATCATTTCTGTCTTTGGGCTAGCTACTTTACAGATTCGAGCTGCTTGGATTCAACTATGTTGATGAATGATAGGAGATTACCCTTCTAGAACGTCAATGGAAGACTAGGACAGCAAAGGATAAGCATGGTCTTTCATCTAAGGGTTTCCTACTTTCCTCCAGGGATTTATGTATACTTTTGTATTATGTAATGTTATGTAAAGTAATGGATTGGGTAGTGGTTGGTATGACTACTATTTGGAAAAGTTGCACTATATATATAGCAACTTTATCTTTTGGATACCAATATATGACATTTGAATGGGAAATCAGATCATGGGCTCTTTTCTTTCTTTATCCATGCTTCTCAAGAACAAATTGAAGTAGGGATGGTAATGGGTCCCTACGAGGGCAGGACCCCCTCTTTATTCTCATCCCAACTAATAGCAAGTATGGGGATTCTTATAGGAATTTTTAGTAAAGGACCAAAAATTGCCCTCCGTCCCCATCTCCGCAAGGAATGGTAAGTTCTGGTGGGTAATCCATGGTAAGTTCTCTCGTGGGTACAGGGATTACCCGCCAAATATTAAAATTGTAGAATTTAACCTCATTTTTTTTTAAAAATAAACCTCATTTTTTTAGTAAATAAAATTTTTAACATTATATAATGAGTAATTTATGGGATATAAATAAAAAGCTGTAGAAGTGAAAGGCATGCAACAAATTTCACAAATACCATACAAAAAGGGACTACATAAAGAAATTAAAAAAGAGTAGAAATTTGAAACAAGTAAATGCATACAATGGTTAAACAAATGCAAACAGTCTAGCAGATGCATACAACAATTCAGTAAATGTATAGTCTAACAAATTCAGCATAAAAAGAGTAGAAATTTGAAACAAGTTAGGTTTTATGTTTTTATAAATACGTTATAATTTATAAAAATATATATTTATGTTGGATTTGGTAAAAATTAATTGAGTTTTATATTTTTGTAAATATATTATAATTTATAAAAATATAAATTTATATACTTTTTTTATATACAGATTCTTGTAAGGATTCATGGGGCAAAGGAAATTCTTCGTAAAAATTTTGCTAAGGAAAAAATTGCCTTTGTCCCCACTGTGGAGAAGAATCTTTTTTGAATTTCTATTCCTACGACAGAGATCCTATGAAACTTCATGGGTTTAGGGGCAAATTGCCTTCTTTACGGAACTTGTATTTTAACCTAGCTGTTTCAACATGTGTATTGTGTATGGCAGGTGCAGAATGAAGTCATTTATTGTGAAGGAAGACACTCCGCAGAGGAGAAGCTATAGACAGAAGAGTTACTCATTTGCTTTCCATTAGGTTTCCTTTATTATAGATGTTGTTTTATGGTTTCGGAGTTTTTTCATTTTTGAACCCGGGCATGCCTGAGTTGAGAGAATGTTCATACGTACTCTTATTCTAGGATTTTGGACTGCAATGAAATGACCATTCTCCCTAAAAAGGGCAGTCGACCCTCGTGGATTTGGAACATCATTTTATGTGAAGAGACTCTTTAAAAGAGAAAATGGTACGCAAATCAAGAGAGATGTTGTTAGTGGCAATCAGGTGGCTTCTAAAGCGTCTGAATTGATTGATGTAAGACATGAGAACATGGAACCTAACAGCCATTGCGATTTTGGTTCTCATACAGATGTTATTTATGCAGTCAAGAGTCAAGAGTCAAGGCTATTCCATTATCAAGGATTTCGAGGCCACCATTGGATCTGGGTGCAGCATCATTTGCATTAGTGATTGGGTAAGTCCAAAATCAGACTAATAAGTGATGCACCGACATGGTGTTTCTTGAAACAAGTAGAATTCCTAGGAATCACTCAAAAGGGCAATTGATTAACGAATGATTGTGAACCTTTAAGCTGGATGCCTGGCTGTTGAGATTTGAGAATGGAGTCTGGGCAAGATGCAGTTATGCAAGGATTGTAGTATGAATGAGCATTGGAGAAGGTGAATCCATATGGTATAACCGTGGCAGAGTTCACAAATCGAATTTCATGGCTTAGGAATAAGCTAGGACATGGTGGACTAAAAGATAAAGACCTTGTTGTATCCTGAGAACTGGGTGTCCAGGGCAAAATTAGTGGCAATGTGCTAGCTGGAGATGAGTACTCAATTCCATACGACAGAACTCCAGAACAAATTCTAATGATTGTGCATGGACCTGGGGACGAGACAGTCCCTGAGGTTTCTACCCAAATGGAGCTGTTGTTGCACGAAATATGTGCTTAAAAAATCTGAGATTAATGAACAAGAAATAGTGAAGATGTGTTATGTGGGTACGTCTTTAATATTTATAAAGGGGACAATGGATCTATTTAGTCAGAGTTGAAAATAAGAGGAGATATTTATTTCTCTTTGCTTAAGTATTTGTAATTTGTATGGACCTTTTCTAAGTTTCCTTAATTGCTTGCAAGCAGTAAAGTTCAAAAGGGGTATTTTTCTTCAACGATAAAAATGGTTTTTCCACTAAGCTTTCAGTGTATGAATGTCAATCAGGCGTTAGTTGTCGAAAATTAGAGATGCTTTCAGGCCACATGTTAAATTCTTGTTAGGGAAAGGAGAAAGATTACGGTTTTTTGATTGTTGGACTGGCATAGGGCTTCTTTAGGAAACTTTTGAACACTGGGTAATTATATACATTAAAATGAGTGATGGATGGGACCATATCTGATGGATCTTCATATTTCCAAAGGAAGGTACCTGGATATTTCCCAATAATCAAAACCAAATTCTTTGTTGAAGACTTGCATTTTAACTTGGCACGCACTTCGCTCAATGTAGTTGCTTCTGTCTTAGCTGTCTTAGTTGGACTACGTAGAGGCCAGCTGGATGAAAATGTTATGGCCTCCATTAAGGGTTTCCTTCCAATTGATGGATTTACGTTCACATTTGTAGTAACATTTAAAGTCGAGTTCACTAATGGATTAGGTAGCAGTTGGTATGGTATGACTATTTAGAAAATTCGCAATATATAGCAACTTTATCGTTTGGATAACAATATATGGCGTTCGAATGGGGAATCAGAGCAATACAGTAGCTCAGTTCATGGGCTCTTTTCTCTGCATTTTGTTCATGCTTCTCAATAACAAATTTTGAGTTCTATGAATTTATTTTTTTGATAAAATTTTTGACTTTTATTTTAATCACTGTTTCAACATTTGTATATATTGTGCATGGCAGCTGCGGAATGAATACATTTATTGTGTAAGGCAGGCCCTAAGCAGAAGCTAATAGCCAGAAGAGATACCCATTCGCTTTCCATTAGGTTTCCTTCATTACCCAGGTATA